TAACGACTGAGCGCAGATAAAAAAAAAAAATAATAAATTCAGAAAGAAGTGGAACCATTGCAATACAGTATTCTCAACTCCCACTCCCTGTAGGCAGTCCAGTGGGATATCATGGTCAAAGGTATTCACTAACAGGACAAGGAAAGGTCTCCCTTGGGACCAGCCCATGGTTGTCCTTGAGACCAGGATTTCTGGAGTCACTCTTGACCCTGTTTCAAAGACATAATCCCCCAGCATTAATAGTCTCAAACCCCAACCCCAAGAAGAGCTCAAAAAACTCAGATATGTTGCTAGGAAGCTAGGTGGGTAATCTACCAGCAGAATCCCTAGCTTGTTTCTGAAGCCCAATCTCAGGTATAAACACTTGCATCTAGTCACCTCTAGAGTAGTAGTTCTGAAACAGCCAGGTTATCATGGAGTATGGTCAGAACCCCATCCTTACCATTAAGGTTATTATACCACTAAAACCCTGGAAGGCAGAACTCAGAGCCTTCCAGCCAAGTTTTGTGATATGTACCAGGATTTGTATACTAAATGCAGAGATGCTATGCACAGTTGAGGGTAGCTGGAACTACAGAATATGGCAGTGGACAGAATGTTGCTCTTTAGTGGGAGAGCCAAGTTCAGAGCTCAGTAGTTTAAGCCAGCTGGTATTCTTCAGTTTACCCTCAGGAGATTAATTCCTCAGGAGACTAGGTGAGATTAGAGGAATAATATGCAATAGTTTCAGAATTATGAAAGTTAGCAGACAAGTTCTTACTTGTGGAGACTTGCAGCATCCTTTTTAATCTTTTGCCTGTTGTATATGCCGTGGTTGAAAAACTTGGTTCAAATTAAATTACATTTCTGTTAATTGCTTTGATTTCCTTTTCTATATTCAGAGTATGTGTTGGACAGGAGACAGAAGAAAGACAATTTGGGTAACATTCTAGAACAACTTGAGGATTGCCCTGGACTTGTTCAGAAGCCACAACTGATTTGCTGTTGAGAGTCACAGGCCCCCCCTTAAGCCTTTTGTGTAGTACTAAAAGCAGGTAAGCTCCCATATACATCTTGACCAAAGTCTTAGTGCCAATTAGAGGCATATGAAAAATGTATTAATGTAACAAGGATTAAATCCAGACTTAGATTAGACCCATCAAAGTCAATGCAGCCTGATGGAAGATACTAATTAATAAAGCTCTACTGATTATGATGAATCTTCTCCAAGAAATTTGCTCTGGGTGCAGCCTAGAGACAAAATATTGATTCTTTGACAAAATAATTCTGAACTGGCCCCTTTAATGTAATTTCAATCAAAACAACTAAAGAATATATTAAAATATTGTCTTTGATAAAGAAAAAGAAAGGAAATTGATGCTCACTCATTTGAAGAACACAAGTTGCCTCTGGAACTCTGGCAAGTCCTGCATTTTCCACATTGTGGAACAAAGAGTGGAATTACTTTATCTCCTAGAATGAAAAACGAATAGTTACAGAAGCACGATCCATGCCCATTGCGAGCAAGCACACAGCTATATAAATGAAACAAAACACTCCTAAATGGTGCTATTTTCAATTGGTTTGGGATCCATGTCCAAAATACTTTGAAAGTAAGATGTTTGGAAATAGTTCTGATTATTCTGTGGATATCCTTCTATGTACTTTTAAGTACAATAACGTATGTACTCTAGTTAGAGATGGATACCAAGGATTAGGAGTAATCAAACACTCATTTATTTTAAAAGAAATGCAGGAGGAAGCTAGGGAGTGTAATAAGAACTTTAGGACCCCATGTCTTATTATCAAATCCACTACTTTTTAAATTCAAATGAAGTTTCTTTCATTCTTGGAACTAAGAGGCATGATCCTAATTTAAGGTATGCAATGTCTTATATTTAGGAGCTTCAGTTTGTTGATATCAGGGTAAAGCCTCCTTTGAATTGATCTTGACTGCTAGTGACTTCATGCAACATCCATGTAATTTTCTTGACAACAGCGCATAACATTTGTCATTGTCTTGTTCTGGTACATTTTTCCCAAGTTTAACCTATAGCGGTGGCATTCCTTCATGGCATCATAAACCATATCACTTTCTAAATTATCACAAATACACTCCTTTAATGTTGTGTTAGTCCTTGTACTACTTCAGGTGTAGTAAGTATAGACGGGAGTTAAAAAGTATGTTACAAGGGAATAACTATTCATCATCATATAAAAATCCAGCAAAAGGAATGCAGTCAATGCAAATACACCTTATCTGAAACAAAAACAAAAGGGAAGAGCTACTCATATGTCCACTTTGGGGCAAAGCATTCACGATCCTCTCTTCTCTCATAAGACAGGTTTATATAGTGTTTCTGGATGTTACATTTGTTTTGCCAGACCCTGTTCTACTGAGAAGCCAGTGAAAATATGCCAACTGTTTTGGTGTTCTGGGCCAGGTTTTAGGGTTCTTGTGTAGCCCACCCCTTCCCAGGCCCCAATTTTTCTCATGCCTGGTTTCACACAAGTCACTCCCTCTCCAACACTCTCCACGACTCCAGCTGCTTCATGGCCCAGCACCATTGGCAAAGGCATGGGAAAAGCACCAGTGATCACGTGGTCATCTGAGCGACAGATCCCTGTGGCCAAAATCTGCAAAGAAGTGAAATCATGCTTTCAGATAGTGAGAAAAAACTTGTGTTTGTATTTTTAGCCTGCCTCATGTACCACGTGTTGAAAATAAGGCATACTAAATTAAAATGATGATTTCTATTTTTACAATCTGAACAGCTATGACTCATCACAATGCTCATTATCTAGGGGTTTTTCAACATAGCTTGTTAGAGTTATTTAATCCAAATATCTTATTTTTTACTTGCATGACACAGTATGCTTAACAGAATAGGGGAATAGGGAAGTGAAGATGTGAAAAAGGAGAAGCATAATTCTTGAAAGGGAAATCTAACAATGACCAATAAAATTTTGCTTGGCACTATTTCTATATCTGAAAATATTTGTCGGAAAAAAACAGAAGCCAACTAAATAAAACCAGCACAAGCCAGATTTATATTCTTTTAAACATACATATTCTGAAATGTAGATTTCCTCAAAATATTCATCCCCAAATTTTCTGTATTGGGGCTGTGTTGAAATATTAGAGAAATAGGAAAATTGATGGATAACGAAGTTCTAATTTGTATTTTAGTCTCCCAAATTCATGTCAGTTCAGTTCATGTTGCAGTCACATAAAGTGAATCTCTCGTTTGTCTCTTCTGTAATTCAGGAAAAACACCATTGGGCTAACAATATCCTGTCTGATTGGAAGACCATTTCTTGCACTTTTTAAAAGTTGTCATATTAAAATATCCCAAACATAGAAAAAAATTAAAAATGGAATGGCTTTAAACAGTAAAAAATAAAGCAGAATTCAACACTTTATCTTGGTGGAGTTCATAGTTGATCTAAGCTGACCATCACAACCTCAGTCAGAGAATGATGTGTGGAGCTTCCTCACACACTGGTTGTCTGTGGCATCCTTTTTTTCCCATTGGTAATAATATCATTTGGATATATATTTAAATAAGGAAGAGGAAGAAGAAGGAAGAGGAGGAGGAGGAGATGACTACTGTGAGGCTGCACTGAAAATGGGTTTAGCATCCATAGTGCTGTCCTTTTGGTTTACCTTAATGCGGACTTCATGTGCTTTCGGAGGTGCTACTTCAATCTCCTCAATGCTCAGGGGTTTTTTCAGCTCCCAAGCAATAGCTGCTTTGCACTTTATCACCTGTAAAAAATATATCAGAGGCATTAAAGGAATGACATTGTGAAATTTGAACAAGCTTTTGGATTTCCTTCATTGCATTAATTCACTGATATCAGAATTACAACTCCTGCCCCTTATAATTTCTAGCCAAAATAGCCATGGAGATCAATTAACTTGCAAGATTTGCCTATTGTCATCCAGTTAGTTTGGTAGATGAGAAACCTCCCTCTAAATTTAACTTGTATTTCTCCATTCTTGATTGTAACTTTTTTTTAAAAAAACCTGGTCTTCTTTGCTTGGTATTTGCCTTTCATATAGCTAAACTAAAATGGCTATGGATTTCATTTCTGTTTGAACAGTTATAATTGTTAAACATGCTGCTTTGAAAGGTGTGTGTTTGTGTCTTCAAGACAGTCTTGATTCCTGGCCAACTTGCTGCAGTTTTCTTGGCAAGGTTTTTCAGAAGTGGTTTCCTACGGCTGAGAAGGGGTGACTGGCCCAAGGTCACCCAGCTGCTTTGTTCCTAGAACTCATGGGCTCCCGGTTTCTAGTCTGATACCTTAACCGCCGCACCAAACTGGCTCTCAAAAGGCTTTATGCTATTTTTTTATATATATAATATTGTTTCAATATATAACCTCAGTGTGTTTATACATGTGTAAGAAACAATGAAAAACAAAGGTCTAAACATACAACCACCTGTTCCTATCCACTGGTGAAAAAATAGTGAAAAAATAATATTTGCTGTATGTAACTGGTAGCTCTAAAAGAATTAGACTTTTAAAACACAAATTACAGGAATCAAAAGTTAAGCATTCCAGCTTTCACCAGGAATCCATTAGGCTTACCACTCCAATGAGATCAGTGTAATATTAGCTGAATCTCTCCCTATTCATTTTTAACTTTCACTGTGAAAGGGTTTGGTTTCATTAGACCAAAAACAAGCATTAAATGTTATATCCTTCTGCAAACAAACTTTTTGTTGTAATACTGCATTTAATTTCGCAATTCAAGGAGCTCTTTCTATCTCTTGCAATATGCGAAAGATGTGTTTTTCTTTTAATGACCAGGTTTTACATTCAATAAACACTTTTTCTTTCTTGCTTTATGTGTATATTTTCAGTTTATAAAGCACATGTATAATTGCAGTTGAAAGAGACTATAAAAGCTAACAAAATACAGTCAAATAAAAAATGGTGTCTTTCACCACAATGAGAAATTTATTCTGTACTGTGAATTAATCAACACAAACTTGTCTACTTACTTTGCCTGCAGTACTCATGGTGCTTCTTTTCAGTTTTGTAGTCACTGCTGTTCTCTGCTTCCTTGCTGTAAAAAATCAAGAATGCACCCAACTCTGAATTGATCAGTGAGCGTTGGAGGGCTTGCTTTTAAGTTACAGGGCAAGCTTCAACTGAACAGAGGCTGCAGCTTTTCAACCAAGCTCACTAATCCCCAAGGTCCACCTCTGAGCTAAAAAAGGAAATACTCTTGGACCTCCCCTCTCTTGATTTCAGCTCCAACTCAAAAGCTGAGTTGCATGAAAATATTTGACAGCCTTGTAAATATGCACATTGGAATTGTGACTAGCTGTTAGCTGACCTCTTGATTTTATTTGTTAGATTCGTCTCTGTTTTTCCTTCAGGTGCTTTGGCTAGCTGTTACAATATATCTCCTATGGGTGAGACAGAGAGGGAGAAAATGAGACTCGCCCAGGGTCACCCAGTGAACAACTCTGGCTGATGGTGGACTTGAATCTGGGTCTCTTTAGTTCAAAACATTACTTACTACCTGTGGAAGAGCCTGCTGCCTAGAAAAATTGCAGCCAACAGTGCTGCCTTCCTCCCCTCCTATGTGAGCCTGCTCCCAGTGTCAGTAAGGCAGAGCTGCCAATGAAGCTGTAACCTTGAACCAGGTGTGGGAGGAGAACAGAGGAGACGTGTGTGTTTTGGAAGCTCTGCAGCAGCAACTAATAGAGAAGGCAGCCCAATAAAAGAAAGCATTTTTATTTCCTAGAGACTGAAGGTTCAGAGGAAAAAGAAGAGGCAAAGCAAAGCAAAGCACAATGTTGGGAAGGTGTAAGTGCTTTACATGCTGACCATTAATAAAGAAGAGAAATAATAGAAGAAATCTCAGAAAGAGAGAGGACTTAAAGACAGACCAGGGTCTGTAAGAGTAAAACGCTCTTGTGTATTAGTAATAGTAGTATAATAGTAATAGTATACTAGTACTAGTATTACATAGTGTAGAAGTAATAGTATAAAGTGTAGTATAGTAATAGTTAGTAGCATATAGTATAGAAAAGATTGTATAGTATCATTAGTAATAGAAATAGAGTGTAGGATAAGATAATACCCATAGAAAGCTATTATACATATACTGTATGTCTGTATATTTCAGTTTTACATCTTGGATATTGTTTTAAATAAAACATCTCCCCAACCATTATAGGGAGATATAAAAATCAGAGTGTCTAGGGTCCACTGCTTTTGATGGATCTTTTGAGTCTGAATCAATCAAATTGGGTACAGTTTAAAAAGAACCTGTGATATTACCTCACAGTGACACTACACAGTGTCGTCATCTTCATTTTTTTTCATATGATTTTATTAAGAATTATACATGAAAAGAATAAAAGCCAGTACAGGCTACAAAGAATACAAACAAAAAAATGCAAAATCTTAATCCTTTTAAAGCAGCAAAAAACAAACAAACACCCCCCACACAAATCCAAAGTGTTTAAGAAGTGAGACTCAGTCAAGCTTAATGTCCTTTAAAAAGGCTGTGTTAATGACTGTGAGCAAAGATGGTTCCTCCCTCAACTCCCAGCCACTTGCCCCATAGGAAAACTGCATAGGCAGTTTACTCATGAGGAGTGGCTGTGCAGAGTCAGGTGGGCTATCTCAGAGATCTCTCCTTAAGCCAGAGAGCATTTTGGTGACCAGGATCCTGCATCCCTCACTGATCTCCACCATAATGCCATCCACTGCGGAAAGGGATGTTTAGCTTGCCATGGCTCTCAACTGGAAGTCATCATCTTCATCATTATGATCACAAAGTTTGGTGGAGATGGGCAGATATTGCCTCTTTTGCATTCCTGCACAGGTTGTAAAAGGAGAGTTTCTCATCTTTTATGGGTAGCACAGACATCCTGTAAATTACAGGAATTTATCCCTCCTCTTCCAGATTGCAATAGGTAGGTAGGTAGGTAGGTAGGTAGATAGATAGATAGATAGATAGATAGATAGATAGATAGATAGATAGATGAGAGAATGACTGAATGTGTCTGGAACCTCAAATCGTATATACCAAAAAAGAAGCATGAAATAATGTAGCTTTTGTTGACCTGGACCCTTTAGGTGGGTTGAGACTGTAAATCCCAGAAATCTCAGTCAGCATGGCTGAACAACATAATGATCATTTACCTCCATAGTGGGAAGGAAATTAGATTTAAGATGTCTCATTTTAAGAACGTGTTATTTCGATTTATCTGATTTATATTCCACCTGTCTACCCTGAGGGCACTCAAGTTCTTACATATTTCTTTCCATGCTAATGGAATGAGAATGTGCCAGAAGGAAAGGAGGAGGTAGGTGAAGAAATTGGAAGATCAGAGGAATGTTTAACCTGTAGCTGGAAATAAACCTTAGAAGCCATCAAAGCTGCTTTCTGTGAGGGTTCCTGTAGTCCAGTGAGCAAAAGAGACCAGAGGTGGAAAGAAGGTGAAAAGACTTCATGAAAGGGCATCAACATCCCAAACTGTAATTAAATCCAGGTCCAGTAGAGGTATTAATTTGAGTTTTACAGGGATATCTTTTCATGCAGTTATCTTTCAGGATAACAGTATCTATATGAACAATCATGAAGAATATATTCTGCTTCTTCTAAGGATTAGGCAGGTTCTTATAGACATTTCCCATAAAAGAGAACACAGGGATGCCTATGATTTGTTAATCTCATATATAGAGACATAAATAAAGATGAACATTTTGACAATTACTATCATTTAAAGAGAAGCACTTTCCATTTTCATCATAATGGGCAAGTTTCTGATCAGATGGTCTGAGATAATGACAGCTTTTTGACCTTATGACCAGACTGTCAGATGATGCTTTTAGACAGGTGACAAACCTCTCTAGCCTAACATCAAGGCCCCCACTTGAACACTTAACATCAAGGCCCCCACAAGACCCAACAGTCCTAACAAAATTGGACCACTAAAAAGGTGCCTAACGACCTGTCTCTTCCAACCTTACCTTCTTTCATTGCCAAGCTTACATGGATCTGGCAAGAATAAAGTGAGGTTTTTTTAAATCATTTTGTCTCCAATGTCATACCATCTATTATTTGACAAGTGTTTGAAATTAGAACTTCAACCTAAGATAGGGCCAGTGGAAGCTCTTCCTGAAAAGGATCATATCCCTAGGCTGAGCTTTGCCATCTTCTTCATGCTTCTCGTCTCTAAGACCTGAAGCCTCATAATGAAGCTGAGGCAGGCAGAGGAATTTTAGAGGTATGGGTTTTCTAAACATAAGTTTTGTCTGAATATCAGGAGCAAATTTTCCATGTAAGGATTAAATACCTATGCTTAGGTGTACTGTAGAGGTTATTGAGTTGAAGATGTTCCCTAGAAAACTCTGCTGGGGCCAAGTCCTGCCTGGTATACAATCAAGGTAATGAAAGTTTCCACAGGTCTGTTTTGTGTCACCTGCTTGATTGTAGTTTTCCTACTGTGGTTGAATCGAATTAAATCTTCGCAGAAAACAAACCTTTATTCAAGACAAACTCCGGTGACAGAAAACAGAAACCCACTTTATGCCATTGTTAAGTTGCTTCTTCCATCTGCTAATTCATCAGTTGTAAGTAGAGCAAGTTGTAAGTAGAAGGATGACAGGACAGTAGAGCAGACCCTGACATTAAGACAAGTTGGACAGAGACCTTATGTAGCAAATCTCTAGTGCCATTTTATTATTATAAAGAAACGTATGAGCAGAGATGCTTGTAGGATTGTTTCCTTATGTGCCTAAATGATCTACCTGGCTTTGAGTACTTTATATTTATTTATTTTATTTATTAAATTTTTCAACCGCCCATCTCCCCCCAATGGGGGAACTCTGGGCG